CTCCCACACACGTCTGCACCCCCAAGCACACACACAAATCTGCACCCCACAAGCCTCCCACACACGTCTGCACCCCCAAGCACACACACAAATCTGCACCCCACAAGCCTCCCACACACACACACAAATCTGCACCCCACAAACCTCCCACACACATCTGCACCCCCAAGCACACACACAAATCTGCACCCCACCAGCCTCCCACACACATCTGCACCCCCAGGCACACACACAAATCTGCACCCCACAAACCTCCCACACACATATGCACCCCCAGGCACACACACACATCTGCACCCCACAATCCTCCCACACACATCTGCAGCCCCAAGCGCACACACAAATCTGCACCCCACAAACCTCCCACACACATCTGCACCCCCAGGCACACACACAAACCTGCACCCCACAAACCTCCCACACACATCTGCACCCCCAAGCACACACACAAATCTGCACCCCACAAGCCTCCCACACACGTCTGCACCCCCAAGCACACACACAAATCTGCACCCCACAAACCTCCCACACACATCTGCACCCCCAGGCACACACAAATCTGCACCCCACAAGTCTCCCACACACGTCTGCACCGCCAAGCACACACACAAACCGGCACCCCACAAACCTCCCACACACATCTGCACCCCCAGGCACACACAAATCTGCACCCCACAAGTCTCCCACACACGTCTGCACCGCCAAGCACACACACAAACCGGCACCCCACAAACCTCCCACACACATCTGCACCCCCAGGCACACACAAATCTGCACCCCACAAGTCTCCCACACACGTCTGCACCGCCAAGCACACACACAAACCGGCACCCCACAAACCTCCCACACACATCTGCACCCCCAGGCACACACAAATCTGCACCCCACAAGTCTCCCACACACGTCTGCACCGCCAAGCACACACACAAACCTGCACCCCACAAACCTTCCACACACAGCTACACCCCCAGGCACACACAAAACCTGTACCGCACAAGCCTCCCACACACAGTTACACCCCCAGGCGCACACACACACAAACAAATCTGCACCCCACAAACCTTCCACGCATATCTGCATATCCAAGCATTCACAAATCTGCTCCCCACAAACCTCCCACACACACACTTGCACTCCCAAGCACACACACACCCCTGAACCCCACAAACCTCACACACACAAACTTGCACCCCCAGGCACGCACACAGAAATCTGCACCCCACAAGCCTCCCATACACACTTTCACCTCCAGACACACAAACAAATCTGCAGCCTGCAAACCTGCCACACACACACCTGTACCCAACAAGCCTGACACACATCTGCACCCCCCCATATACCCAAAGCTACTTGGTCTGCCACCATCCACACCCCACAACCTCTCCTATAGTCATCCCCCAATGCACACACACACTAGACTTCCAATCCACTTTCACCTCCACACATCACAACCCCCATACCTATGCATCCCAACCTCCCACAGCCACACTACAACAAAAGTACAGTGATAACGTGGTCAGACCAATGGTCCATCTAGCCACTCTTACAACAGTGGCCACACACCACAACTATCCACCCCCAGTTACCCATGTATTCATAGTCACTCCGCACACACACATACTCCTCACAACACACACATAACCCATCACACACACATTTATATACTCAATGCCTACACATACCCACATTCACAAAACCACACACTCACCTTCCCTGCAGACACACACACTGATGCACAGACTGAAACACAGCAGTGACTAACATCTGCCACACAGTGGAAAAAGTAGTTTGGGGCAAGAATGGTCTTATGCAGTGGGCCACAAAATCTTTAATATCTGCACAGAGCATTTTGTATCTCTGTTTTGCCTCTGCACCTCTGGACTTCACTCCACAGAAGACATACATTAAATGGTGCAAGACAGGGAAATAAAAATAATGGAGGAATGAGGTTAGCCTTGCTGGGAATCAGATCCCTGGTCCAAGGAGTCTAGATAGTCCAAAAATATTTTTAGAACATAGATTCTTAATCTGGGGGCTGCATTCCACCTACACAAATCCTCTCCCCACATCTACACACAACAACTGCTCCATGCAACCCACCCCCAAAATACCATTTTTCTCATGTTGTGCTTCATTGCTCTGGACTATTGTATGCTGTTTTTTCAAGAAAATAAATGTATATTATTAACTACAACCACCAATATTATAAAGAACATTAAAAGTTATTGCTTTCCTAAACCCTAAATTGATAAAGTGTAGTGCATAAAAACATTAAAATAATCAAAGATACACTATGATTCAGTTTTTATTTCTCTTTGTTTTTGTAAGGAAAAAGTAAAAAATCCAAACAAGAATTGAAACTGCTGATACAACAGAACAATAACTAAATACTTCCCTAAACTCATGGCCCATATTCATTGTACTGCAACTGTGAACTAGTAATTATCAGGAATTAGTCAATTGTTCTTATTGGAGAGTTATGAGTACTACTGTCTGAGATGGGCCAACAGATATTGTAATAATTGCTATACATTTATCCTAGCTGTAAGCTCAACTGTGAGAAGACAGTGAAATTTTATAAAATAATAATACATGTTTATGGGGAAAAGTGCAAAAATGAGACAAAGACTGAATTAGTCCGAACAAAAAGACTGCAAAGAGTGTGCTAAGATCATGCTTGGTAACCAAGAAGATTATGGAATATACTCTGATATGTCAAAAACTGGACCTAATTGGTAGATAAAATAATGAGATGATGAGCTATTCCAGCCATCACTCCCAAAACAGAGATTTGAGGGAGAAAGCTAGCTACTGCAAAACTGGCTAGGGAGAGGCAAATGCCAGCCAACTAAAAGACAAGAAAAAGAGATGGAATAAAGTTATCCACCATGGTTGTCATCCCCACTGTCTTTGCTTACCATCTTCATCTTAATACCAGAAGCTGTCTTGTTCAGACTGGGTTAGAGCCACTAGAATATTTGTCTGATCTCCCAGCCTGCTCCTGGTCATAGGGTACGTCTACACTGGCACCCTTTTCCGGAAATGCTTAAAACGGAACAGTTTTCTGTTATAAGTATTTCCGGAAAAAGCGCGTCTACATTGGTAGGATGCTTTTCTGGAAAATCACTTTTTCCGGAAAAGCGTCCGTGGCCAATCTAGACGCGCTTTTCCGCAAAAAAGCCCCGATCGTTATTTTCGCGATTGGGGCTTTTTTGCAAAAAACAGTACTGTGCTGTCTACACTGGCCCTTTTCCGGAACAGTTTTCCGGAAAAGGACTTTTGCCCGAACAGGAGCAGCATAGTTTTTCCATAAAAGCAGTGATGATTTTACAGTAGATCGTCAGTGCTTTTCTGGAAATTCAAGGGGCCAGTGTAGACAGCTGGCAAGTTATTCCGGAAAAGCGGCTGATTTTCCGGAATAAGTGGCCAGTGTAGACACAGCCATAGAGTTTAAGGCCAAAAATCCCAACAGATCATCTAGTCTGAACTTCTGTATAACACATGCCACCAGCCACAGCCCCCCATCCACACAATATAGCCAGTGACAATAATTAAACCATACTATTACAGCCCTTAGCAGACTAGGCTATTACTGCTCAAGGCAGACAAGAGGGACCAAAGTGTACCAATCCTGAGGCTCCTGAAAATAGACAAGTGAGAACATACCCCAAAAACATAGGCTTTGCAACAAAAGCTCTTTTAACCAAGTAAAGATTGCCTCCTAACAGTACTATAAGGATATTTGTTAGCCTTGTTGTAAACCCTGAGTTTGTCAAAGTTAGCGGGTGGACTGGAGTGTCATTCCCGTTTGTGTTTTGCTATTTGGGATTATAAAAGGGATAGCAAAACACAAAGGGAATGACACTATTCATTAGCATTTGTATTGCAGTAGTGCCAGGAAGAAGGTCCCATGATGCTATATGCTGTACAAACATAAAATACCCCAAATAGCTGACAAGCTAAATCGCATGGGACACAGGGGTCTTTCTTTCTTGTCATTAGTTTATATCCATCAATCTGGGTCAGTGTAACACAAACATGGTATGATCTTGGTGCTGGTTGGTGACATGGAAATGGCTTGGTGGTTTCATTCCTCCACCCTACTGGACTAAAGAAACATCCTCACATTTGCTATAGTTCTTGGCAATTTAATTACATACCAAAGGATTGAATAATCATAGTCAAAATGACCTCTCCCTACAAATAAGAGATTTATGGGATGTTGTTTTACACACGTTGGGAAGTATGCCCTCATGCTGATTTCTGACCTCTTTCAAAACTGCAACTTCCATCTGTGACATCATTTACAGCACAAGACAGCTACTGTAATTGTAACAAGTTGGGCAAGAAAACAGGATGTGCCTTCTGCTGGGAGAGCAGCATTGCATGT